TCAATTTATCGTTTTCAAGAGTGTAATCAGAGGTGTATTTTTTCTCATTTCGCAAAAATTGTACATGTTCCGTGACGTCTGTTTGTAAATTATTTTTGGGTCTTTTACAGTTTCGGCAATAATAATTCGAATTGAAACTTGTTGTGAAACCTAAAATTGAATTTAGACCTAGGTTATCACCAATAATTAAAGATAAAACAAAGTAAATGTGGAAGTCTCCCTCTTGAGTTTTTAAAACTATGCCCTCCGTTTCTAATTGCTGAATGATTTGTATCAAAGGATTAAATGCAAAAATATTGCCGTATTCTTTTCGATGCCTAGATTTAAAGAAGCCTGCAACAAAATGGTTTTCTAACGTCGACAAATGGTGACTTGGAATTGTTGGAAAATTGTAATATATGCCACAAATTGCTTGATCAGCAGCATGGGAACCCAAAGGGTTATCAATTCCAAATTCATCATAATATATTATGTACGGAATGACGAGTTTATCTCCAAAACTAGAAATTTTTTCTTTCTTATGTATTTTGTATTATGTATGTATATGTATTTCTATATGTATTTTGATTTGACTGTAGCATTTTCATATTACCTAACGTTTTGCTCAAGTTATTGTCTGTTTCGAAATATTTCTTCATTTGAAATTTGATTGGCATTAATACACCTACCACTTTGTTTGAATTTAAACCCGGGTTACTATTAACTACTATTTCTGCTATTTCTTCATTGATAATGTATGAAGTTGGAAGTTGAAAAAAACGGTACTCATTAATATTATTATCGAGAGCAGGAAATAAACTAAGGAAATTTGTTTCAGCGGTTGTTCTGATATTTGAGTTTGATATTAAAGGCGACAGTGACATTAATACATGTTCTTGTATTGGCTTTAAAATTGTATCGTTAATTTCTTGTACAATAGAAAACACATCTTTTCTTGTGAAATTGTTTTTGTTATGTAGAGACAATACAAACATATTCATATTAAATTTTTTTTGCGTTGTATTATTAAAATTAGAACTTAATTTATTAGTCTGCCCTTTAGTAATATTAGGCCTAACAAAAACAGGTGCATGATAAGATACAGCAGGTGTACTTGGCAACGACGCATGAACTCTACGTAGGTGATTTTGAAAACTATACACGTTTGAAAAACATTGACCACATTTAGAGAAAGTGCAAACAAAATTTTTTATCTCAGCAAAAACATGGAAAGATTTCAAATGGTCAACTAACAATTTTGATGTAGAAGACCTTTCGTTACATATAAAGCATTTGAACATTTTATCAATCTACTCCAACAAGTTTTGAGTATCTTTTAAATAATTCTTAAGTGTAATAACATTAGGGTGTGCACAATCCGCAATGCCAAAAAAGTAGGATTCGATAAAATTATATATGGATTTCGCTTGTATCGGATATTCCAAATTTAATACATGAAAGATTTTAAATAAAGTACCAAGTGATTTTAAAAATGTCGGTACCTTGTAAATTATACTGTCGAAAATAACGTAAAAAGAGTCTAACTGAGTTAGTTTCTCTCCGACTACCAATAGTAGCGGCTGAAGAGGAAGATTCTTTTGATTTAACTTAATCTTTAATTCGTGGTACATCCTCTGATAATCGTTTATGCTGCTGCAATGCAGCAATGTCACTGCTTGCGCATCACATATTGATGGCTTCCATTTAAGCCGTTTTTCACCAGAAGTTTGTCCAACGGAAATTAATGACGGTTTAAGTATCGCATGCAAAAGCAGTGTCAATAAACAATCCATTGAGTCTGCATAAGAAAATAAAATAAATACTTGAAAAAATAAATATTAGACTTGTTGCTTTACCAGTACTGATGTTTTCGTCAATTTTTTTTAGCATATCAATGGACGTTGCATCTCTTATTTTTGTCTTCATGTAAGGTATAATTGACTTTCTAAATTTTGGCCATTCGTTTAGCAAATTCTGCGAACAGTTGGGAAATTTCGCTTCAAAATCAATTTCAACCTGCAGTATAATTGAAAATATACAAATTCCAAAGTTTTATATCATAAATAAGAAAATTTAAAATAGGTACATATATAAAGCTAAACTTACCAAAGTGTATCCAAGACTGTGTTTCAGCAGCGGCCAATTAGTTAAAATATTTGCGTGTTCATTTAAAATCTCTGCGGTTCTTAATTTGACTGTGTTCGTCCATTTTTCATCTGCTAATCGAAGGAAATATTAATCATGGTTTTTCCTTACATGTGTATGTACTTATTTTTGTATGTATGTACGTGTAGGTATTGCACCGTGCGACAAAAACAAAAAAATTTCGAAACCCACGAAGCAATCAATATACTCACGAAACTGTGGGCCAAATATAGTGGTATATACATACATACACGTACATAGATAAGTACGTTTTTGTAAAATTAAATTTACTATTGCTCGCCTGCTCCGACAAACTTGATTGAGTGGGTTGACATTTAGGTGCAACGCTTAGTGCTCCTGTTTCTTTTTTTATTTTCCTTCGGATGTTTGTTGCCTTATCATAAAGTTTGCCTGTTGGATTTTTGCCATTTCGACGGTTGCAGTAATAGCGCTAAATAAAAGTAAAATAAATGCATTTAAGTGTTGAATTTTTTTTTTTAATATTCACAACGTTTTTCAAGCTAAATTTGTTCTGTTATTTTTCTATAAAAATTGTATCCAAGCTTTAGCCAAAACCATATAAATCAGAGTTTCGAACTTTCTTCCACTTTTTATTTCGTAAGAAATTCATGCTTATAAGGAAAAAAGGGCAAAAATCTGTCAGCTAAAAAATGATTAAAAATCAGTGCTATTTTTTATCCGCTTGAAACTTGATCCTCTTTTACATATGTATTTACAAATTTTGATAGCAAGTGAATATGAAAATGCATACATACCATGTCTTCGTTGGGAAATAAAATTGTTATTTGCTCAGAAAAGGTGATGATATCTTTCATTGTCATAGGCACTGATCGCGCTGAGAAGTGGTCAACAATGGTATTTACCAAAATGTCACGACTAAAATCTGACAGCACGGTCTTTTCTCTATATTGTTTAAAGATGCTTTGACCTCTTTCAGTGGCATTAAGTATTAACTTTAAATTCTTTGCTTCCATGTCTCTTATCGAGTCGTGAGACTCTTGGCTAGAATTTATCCAACTCTTGCATGATCCTATTGACGAAATGGTTTCAGCCTTAAAATAAAAAAAGTATGCAAAGCTTATCATTGATGTGAAAATGATTTACTTACTTCATTCTGTCGCCAACGTGCAACTCTTTCTTTAAACTTTACTCTCGTTCCGAGCATTGATGCAGGGAAAAGTTCATTTATGTCCCCATCGTTGATGAAATACAGACTTTCTACATCCATTCCGCAATCTGTCAATAACATAAATATGCATATGGTTCCTCGCAAATTCTCAAAGAACTTACCGAGAATTCTTTGATAAACTTCTTCACTGAAGTTCATTTTACCACATACGACGTCTTTCAAATTTTCTTTTTCACGTGAAGCTTCAGTGGCTTGGCTTTGCTGCAGTGAAGTCTCAACTTCATTCCCCATGGTTAAATCACCATCAACAACGAAATATATGCCCGCCGATTCCCCAAAGACATTTTCTGTACCCATTCTTCTTAATATTTAAATAGCTTTTTTTAATAATCTTTCACAAATAATACACCAAATAAAAATGCAACCGAATGACGAAGAACGCGCACGCAAATAAAATATTACGGTACTTTTATGTTCTCTAACCACATACCCTGTAAAATTCACAATAGCTCATGTCAAAACAAACAGAAATCATGTTGCCAGACCTTTTTAGCATCAACTAAATGTAAATTTAACACTTTATGTGTTTGAATCAACATTATTTAAAAAAACCCTCATGTAAATTTTACAATAACTCAGGTTGCAACAAACAGGAATCACGTTGCCATATATTTTTAACACTATTCACATGTAAATTTAACACTATATCTTGGTAAATTAACCAAAAATACTTCATGTTACTCTTAACACTTTTTTCCTGTTGAAAATATCATGTTAAAATGGAAAAATTGTTGTTGTTTCGTGTGTACAACTGTTTCATGTGAATTTAACATGGATCGTGTTACTTAAAAATCGAGGATATTTTTCTGGGTGTGGGTCTCCCGTTCTTTGAGCTTGAGGGCGATTGATGACAGACAAGCCGATCTAGGCAGCGCTAAGTAAGCGGCCAGAACAACAATAGATAACGAATATAAAGAAAACACACCATTATACAAGCTTGTATGAAATTACCTACTGGGTTGAAGCGTGGACTATATCAATCGGTTAAGAGGAAGACTTGAGAAGACTAGAACGAGAAATCCTGGACATGTGATAGAAGAAAACATGTGGAGAGTAAGAAACAATGGCAGTATTTGCAGAACTACCACAAGTGGGGGACGTGATGAAATTCAGGCTGTCCCACAGAATCTGATGGGCAATACTTGTGAGACTACTGAAGGTGAAACCGAAGCGGAAAGACGACAAATGGGTGTACGTGCCCGGAATGACATAGTTTTTTACCTGGCTGAGAACTGTTACTCCAGCAGCATTTCCCAAAAATACTTTATTTGTTATGCTCTTACAACAACAAAGCCAATGTAAGATAAGACTTTTCGAGAATGGGAGTCGGAAACTGGGAGATGACAGCTGGAGAAAAATGTCAACAAATGGTCTACCACATCGAATGACTCAAGAAGATGATTTGAAAACCAGAACAGCTAGGCAAATTAAGTTCGAAAAATTTAATTGAAATCGAAAACCATAACAGGGGTGATAAATTTAATAAAACTGCAAACAATCACTCACATAATACAATTAATATCATTGCAACAAAGCTGTCAAAAGAAATTAGAATGAAGTAATTGGTCTACATATATTAAGTAATTTACGATTTAACGTGTATTAGTTTTACTTATATAAGCAGATAATTTTAGAGTGTCCCATCCTTTCTTGATTTAACATAGTGTATATTTTGATTATTATAGGAAGACGTTTCCGTAAAGCTTGAAGCGCTTGACATTCTCACAGACTTACTTTCACGTTTTGGAGCGTTTCTGGTACCTTTTCACAACCCTATTCTAAAAGCATTGTTTCCCCAACTCGAGTCAACTCGCCAGGCCGTCAGAAAGCGTTCGATCGTTGCTCTGTCACACCTTCTTTTGTTGGCCGACGATAGTATATATGACAGCGTTATTGATCGCCTCCTAAAAGGTTTGAAAAATAATTCCAGCTCTGGGGCTGTTCGCACGTACATTCAATGTTTAGCATCGATTTGGTAATGTATAAATGCAATTTCCATGTTATTAATTTGTAATTTAATTTAATTTACTTAATCGTAGCCGGCAGTCTGGGCCACGTTTATGTAGTCATGTTAATCCAGCCATAGAACATTTAATAATGTATAGCCATTGTGACGACGACGAAGTTCATGAGTTTTGCCTCCAAGCGTTTGAAGCATTTGTGTTCCGATGTCAAGACGCAGTTACTCCCCACGTGTCTATGGTATGAATACATTTATATTTCTGTGGTAAAAACTAAAAACTTAAGAAGTGATTCAGCTTTAGAATGTCGGACATTTCGAACATTTCGAAGTTTACAAAGTTTAAAAAAGTCATTTGTCTAAATTAACGGCTGTGATCTGTGTGTGTGTCTTTATTTAAATCAAACGGACTGTTCCAAAAATAACACAATGCTACAACAAAAAGTAATTTTTAAGCAAAAAATAAAACCGACTTAAATTCTCATATAAAAAAATAAGAGTACCGTTAATTTCTGCATGATCCAATGATCGGCTCTAACGTATGCGAAATAAAATGTGGACTATTTTTTATCAGGCTTTAAAAAATTCTCTTACAAAAAATCTTTGCGCATTTTCATTTGACACCTCATTACTTCTTTATTTATCCATCGATTTTCTACATTAGTAACATGATGTTTTTGTAATCGAACAGGCTGTAGGACAAATGCAAAATTTTGACCCAGAACCTGTTATTTTTTAAATTTTTCTTCTGTTGAAAGTGTTTCTTTTTTTCATATTTTCATAAAAAAATAAAAATCTGGAATGATTAATTTGTCAGAAACTATCAGACCTATCGAAAAGTGATGTATATTCGGTCTATGTAGAATTTTGTTGGCTTTCATTTGGCGTATTTCATATTAAGATTGTTAAATTGGCTCGTAAGATATACGTGATTAAGTTTAACCTTTTCTTGTTTTAAGCTGAATAACGGTAAATTGAAAATATCTTGAAAACTTATCCATAGAATAAAAAATTAAGTAGATTTTCGAAATCAGCGAGCAATTCTTTATAGGAATTGGATAGTGGCATCCATTGAATATTTTTGCTGTAAACCAGTGTAATTATTATTCTAATATTTAGGATCAAATACGTCGCCTTATTTTAGGAGAAATTGTTTCCGTCTTTGCATAGTAATTATTTACGAGAAATATCGTTTTTGGTCTCGCGGGGGGATTATTTTCATATGGAAATTATTTACGTATTTTCATAATAATTATATGGGATTTTTATTTTGCTCGTCTCTGGGGACGTTTATTTCAGGAAGAAAATTGTTTACGTCTTCTCATAATAGATAATTATATGGGATATGATTTACGTCTTCTCATAATAATTATGAGGCACTTTTTTCGTCCCGGGGGACGTTTGTTTTAAAACCGAAATGATTTACGTCTTTTCATAACAATTACATAAGTACATATATGAGACTTTTATTTTCCTCGTCTTTCGGGACGTTTATTTCAAGACGACAATGATTTACGTCCCGCGTTTTCACTTAATAGAATCAGTACATGTACTGCCGATTTCGCAAATATCTCCGAGCTCGGTTATTTAAATTTGATTTGCTAACATCTGGCAACCCTTTTCATAAAAATAGAACCACATAACGAACGATACACTTATCATCGAGCAGTGGTCAGCGTAACACGTCCGAAGAGTGCGAACCGCCAGACAAAAGTCTGATTAAACAAATAACAATCGGGACAGAAAAAGTAAAAAAAAACTAAAAGCAGAAAAAGACTGCAGAAAAATTTGAACATGGAAAATTCCAGAATTGAGGGACAGACGGACACAACAGACCTAACGGAATCAGAAACGGACGATACTTTAAGAACGGTACAATGCAAAAAGTCAAAGAAGGACAGTACACACACACGCATACCGATGCAAGGCATGCTAGTGCCGAAAGGTACATACCAAAAAGCACCAATAAACCCAACAAGCAATTTGACTGAGAGAAGGGAACAAATACCAACAAATAAATACACGGAGACATATAGAGGTGAATTTAACGTTTTAGTTGACTCGTCAACGAGCAAGCTGTTTAGTAATGATCCCTAAAAAACGGGTTCTTCCTGTGGGATAAGATTCGTGATTTCAACATAAACAAATCGGAAAATATTAAAGCCATTGGAAAGCCTTTGTACAAAATGGCTTTCGAGACTCACGAACATGCGAATAACTCGCTCAAAAATGCCGAACTGATTGACAACAACATAAGGGCCTTCATTCCCAAAAGTTTCACCGAGACTTATGGGGTTGTAAGACCAGTTCGAACCAACATTCAGAGTTATGTCAAAGCACATCAGTTCAGCGCATTTTGAGAAGAGATGCGGAAAACAAAGAAAACCTTATTCCTACACTCACAATAAAAAGAGGCTTTGAAGGTAACGAACTCCCAGAGTCTATAAAAATCTTTTTTGTAAGTTTCATAATAAATCACTACATTCCAAAAGCAAGACAATGTTACAATTGCGGAAGGTTAGACCAGACCAAGCTCTCGTGTAAAGCGCAGTCAAGGGAGGGGAAATGGATGCGAAAGAAAAGTGCAACGAGAAGAGCAAGTGTGTTTCGTGCGACGATGAATGCTCTTTAAATCGAGATAAATGTTCGGTATGGGAAAAAGAGCTGAAAGTAGATGAAATAATGGCGATTAAAAAGATATCGAAAAGGGAATCCAAGGAAACTTACCTCAAAAGTTGGGGGAGAAATAGGTTTGCAATTCTAGACGTTGACGAGAAAAAACTTTCCAGCATTAGGAAACGGACTGCCAAGGACAATAAACAACGATGAAGTCATAAACCCAAAATTAACACATTAAAAGTACAATCAAGTTGCAAAACAACAAAAGAACCGAACTTATACAACAACAGTAAGTACATCTGACACCACAGCTCAGAGAACAACGAAAACTTACACACCTGTATACAATAGCAGCGTGTGGAGCAGAACATCGGAGATCGAAAAACTAGTGGCTGTACTATGTGAAAAATTCCAGATAAATACGGAGGATCTAACAGTACAATTCATAGAGAACCTATGTAAAAACAGCGCTAACGAAAGGCTGTTGACAAAACCAGCAACCACAAATGATGAGTTTAAAGATACTGCAACATAATTAACAACGCCTCAAGAAAAACAAAGACCATTTAGACTTCTTTATAAATAAACATGAAATAAATATTATTGCATTACAGGAAATTTTCTCGCATGACGAGAAAAAAAAAATAACCTCAACTTAATACATTTTAATACACTCAAAGGAAAAAATGGTTGGGAAGGAGTAGCCATTGGCAGCAAAAGAAACAGAGGGATGGAAAAAATTAGGTACAGAACCACACAAGACGTGATCATAGCAAAAACACTGAATCTAAGAAACAATATTACATTCTGCTCAGCTTACTTTTCACCGTCTCTGAACACGGCCATGTTTAAACGTGAGATTGACAAGTTAATGAACACCTTACAAGGTCACCCCAGGGTAACACTCATGGGGACCTTTAATGCAAAAAACAGGATTTGGGGTTGTAACAAAAATTACCTAAAGGACAAAGAACAAGAAAATGTGATAAAAAACTTAAACTGGGGATGTCTAAATGACGGCCCAAAAACCTTCTTTCAACACTTCTACAAGCTCCGTGCTAGATCTAGCCTTTACTAACGTAGCAGATAGTATTAACTGGGAACGTAACATGGCGTATGTTGGAGGAAGCCCTCACTACCCCATAATCCTCGAAATTCCCGGCGTAGTCAATTTGCCGGAGTACTTCATAGCGCAAAACTAACAAAACAAAAACTAAATAAAGCATCCAGCATCTCAGGGGGTGAAAATCTAGAAAGTCTAGAGAACAATATCAGAACAGAAATAAGAAAGGCTACTATCAACCTTAACGAATTCAAACACACACCGAAGGCGTGGTGGACGGAAGAACACAGCAAAGCACATAGAATACTTGTGGCTGCCCGAAAAAAGGCAAGACTCACAAATAGAGTGGATGACTTTGAAATTGTAAATGAAAAGGAGGAAGAATGGAAAAAAATAGTTGAGGGAGACCAAAAAGAATAACTGGGAGAAGTAGATTGAGGAAATCAATGAAGACCCCAACAGCAAAAACACATGGAAATTCATAAACAATGTAAATGGTAGTAGAAAGCACAACCCAAATCTGTGGTCCCAGGATGACAACCACAAGTACCTTGAATGGTTTCAAAAACAAAGTGAAACAATTGACAACTTAATGACCACAAATATGACAACACACACGAGAATGCAGCAAAACAACGACTACGTAAAATTTAACATGGAAAGTTTTGAAAATCTTAAAAAACAAAAAATCAACCGCAGGTGGGGTGGATCGCATAACATATGAAATGCTTAAACACATTCCAAGACAGGCTAAAAGCGAGCTCATCAAGACACTAGAAAAACATTTCAACGAAAACGAATTCAAACATAGCTGGAGAGAAATAAAAGCAGTTCCGATACCCAAGGCCAACAAAAACCTTGAGGACTATAAGAACTACAGACCAATTTCACTTATATCAACCGTGTTCAAAAGCTTGAACATGCTAGTTAAAGAAAATTTAACAAACTTCATTGGCACAAAAAAACTACTATCAAACAGAAGCTTTGCCTACAGAAAAAAACAAGTCTGCTACTATGTGCATCAATGAAGTTCTTTTTACTACAAGCATTCTACAAGCATGGACGCCTACAACCGAGTGGATATGAATATGCTGCACAGCATATTTAAACAGAACAACATCAATGATAGAATCAGCAACTGGGTTTACAATTTCTTCTCAGAAAGGAAACTCATACTTGGGAAACAGTCGGTTACGGTCAAAAAAGGGCTGCCCCAGGGCAGCTGCTTATCACCGGTCCTTTTCAACCTCTAAACAGCGGGACTACATCAAATCAACCACAATGACACCACTCTCTACCAATTTGCAGACGATTTTGTCGCTCTAAGCAACCTTTTTTTTAAATAAATTTTGGCTATTTTTCTTTTGTTTATTTAATGTTTATTATTTTTCCATAAAAGTCTAGCTCATTATATAACAAACACCACATAAATCCAGATTTCAAACTTTGTGCAAAACTTATGAAAAATCTGCAAATTTTTAGCTGGATTTTCAACTTTTTATTCAGATATTGTCGAATTTATTTTGTATGGAAAAAGTTTGTATTGCAGTCAGAAAAAAATTATTAATAATCAACGCGATTTTTTAGCAACTAACTTTATGCACGAAGTATAAATAGATAGAAAGTTTTAGCAGTAAAGTATATTTTTAAAACACAAACAGTCAAAAAACAGGCTAAGAAAAAAAAAAACAAAAAATAAATAAATAAATATAAATGACCTGTAAATATTTATCGAAAAGTACATCTTATCAAAATTATATAAGCAAACTATCTTAAAATTTCTATTTTTGACTTCAAGTGTACTTAAATCTAGTCATGCATACTATCTATATTTAAAAAAAAAAAAAAAAAAAACGAATAACTGAGTTCACCAACTTGTCGTTAAAGTACAAATTTTACATCACTACTCCTTTGTTTTA